GGTAAGTTTTAAAGAGTGAGATTTTTATCTGTCTGTCTTCACTGATTTTCAAGGCAAATTTCATACTGCAGTGTTGAAAATTTTGCTGTGACTATAAACTTACGGTGGTAACACTCTCATGGACATGCAGCTCTACAAAATATATCAATCAAAGCCTATGCTTATTCAAGCTTTCATCAGTGGCAGTTGATTATGTTTTGCTTTTGCTCTGTGAAAGAGGAGCAGAGGTAAAGGTCAGATGCTGGTGTCCTTATCAGCACTGAGTAAAGTCTCTTGAGGTTTGGCTGTTTGATAAGAGTGGGCAGAGACAGAAGGTGGAGAGGCTCAGTGGGAGCTGCTCTGTTAATGACAGCTCATATCCTGTGTCCTCATTTCCTGCTGACCTGGGAGGTGACTAGGAAAAGCTACTGACTGGCTATGGACTACTGTTTTCTGTGGGGAACAGGCTTCTCCTCATTCTCAGCTGCCACATAATTTAAAAGATAGTTATGAAGGTATATAATTATTTATTAGTGTATTTCTTTAGCCCCATCTCATTATTGTTGCATCCACTGTTGTGGAGGAAGGCATGGCAAACAGTACCAATCAATATGGGAAGGAAGATTTTTTTTCTTTGTGCAACTAATCTATCGATGTATATTTTACAGCCCAGGATAATTTGGTTTGCTGAGATGTAGCAGTAATATTCAGGGACATCATGTATATAGCTGGAACAATGGATATCTGACCGAAAAGAAGTCTGTTGTTCCATTCCTATCTCTACTCCTGGAGGACAGTAGATGTAGGACCTTGCCAGCACAAGGATAGTCCATTTTAAAACAATTAACTTCAAAAACCTGCCGAGAGAAGAATTCATGTACAGCTTCCCAGGATTGCCATGTCAGAAAAGGACCTGAGCTCTTGGAATCAATTTACTGTAATGTTGAAATAACCTTCCTTGTTTTCATCCTCAAACATAAGCAAACTTCTCTCTTTGGAGAATATTTGTCAAGGAGCCTTCTGCTTCCTGCACATGACATGCAGGACTTTCTTCCTCACGCAGCAGGCAGAGACTTTTGGTGCCTGTGCTGTTTTCCTTTTTCCACACCTGCTGTCTCCTGCTCTGTGAGTGTTTGCAGAGCCAGCGGGGTGGACCAGGGAGTGACAGCAGCAGCTGTTGGGTGCTGTGGCAGGAATGTGGACTCATCTCTCCTAAGGATCAGCTTCCCACCCTTGGCTACTGGCTGCCTGGAAGGTAAGCCTGCTTCATGTGCTCTCTCTGTAGCCCTGTCATGCTCTTTATTTCTGCAGGGATCCTGCCATGGAATACCAGCTAGAAAGGCTGCTGAGGTGCTGTCGTTCCAGGCGTGTGCATGTGACCTTGGGTGCCTGTGACCTGGGGTAACACAGGGAATGCTTGCTGCCAGGGCACCATGGGGCTGAGAGAAGAGTGAGCACCAGAAATAATCTGGGAAGCTCAGCTTCTGCTGGCTGCTGGACTGGCAGTTACAGAGGCACTCTACTGAGTTTGGTGCTTGTTCCTTTCAGCTTTTTTGACTGAAGTGTGGGAGAGAAATGCTCTCCACATTAGAGCCTTAAAAATCACTGTGAGAGCAATTTCTGTATTAGTCTTAGGGTTTTAACTTAAGTAAATGTGACTTAAGTAGTTGGTTTTCAACCGGTATGGTCTCATTGACCACATCGGGGTGGAATTAATGCTTCTGTTGAATTCTTATGACGTGTCTGGTGCTGAGCAAATAAAAGCTACAGGCTTAGGAGAGCAGTAATGCAGATGTGTGACGTGTGGTGCAGCCACTGGCTGGCAGCCCTGGGCTACTGCTGAGCCAGGCTGAAAATGAAAATGTGCAAATTTAAAGAACTGCAGGAGCCACAAGAGTGAAAACACAGCTGAGAGTGACACACAAACTTCATGATTGCATCACAAGCATTCACTTGTTTCCTTCTCCAGGAACAGCAGATTGAATGAGCACAGAAAGCACATCTGTTTAAGTGCCTTATTTACACAATACTGTTATTTGGGATATTCAGCACTTGCATTTTACAAGAAAGCCCACAGCCCTCTCCATCAGCTTCTTCTCTTGGCCTCTTGTTGTTTCTCTTCTACTGCTCTGAGAGAGAAACAGGTGTCAAGAGATGAGTAACTGTAATAGAAAGAAGCAATTTGAAATAGCACAGTAATTTAGGCAATGTCTAGAACATGCTTTTTACTTAGCACCTGTTTGCTCTGTTTCCCCTTGTGAAATAAAACAGGAAATATACAGTTACTAGCAGTAACACTAACAGTGTCACAGAAAGTTCTTGGAGTAGAATAACCATTATTTCTCTGTAGGAATAAGAAATGCACTCTCATGATTATATGACAAAAAATTCTCAGATGGTTAGGATCATGGTCTTTCCTCAGGTTTGGTGATGAAATGCCATGCTGAGCAAGATGTGGTAGATAATAAGGTGATGTCAGCTTTTCTATGCTATCTCCAGGGTACTTATATAATAGCATTCAGGCTACAGAAGAGCTCTGCATCCAGTTGTTTCCTGGGCTCCTTCGTTTAGTGTGATGGCATGAAGTTTGGTGTCATATTCTCTTGAATTCATAGCCTTCTTTTCATGTTCCCATCTCCACTGCAGTTTGCTCCAAGTGCCTTGCAGTTGCACGGGCAGCGGAATGATGCATCCAGAATATAAATTTCCATTCATGAGAAGTGGTGATTCTCAAGTGAATGCTTTAGATGCTGTTACAAGAATGTTAATGGGAAACCCACTTGTGAAACAACATACTTTCATCACTATCTTATGTTAAAATTATTGAGTACAGTTCATGCCATAATCAATTCCTTGTGTCTTTCTGTAGTGATTGTTTTTGATATCAGAGGGTGAGCTGACACATGAAAACAGTATTAGACCCTGCAAATAAAGACTATAAACATATTTGAATATTGAGTTCTAGGGTAGTTAGGGTGAGTGCTAAATTACATGCAACATAAACACCAGATAAAAATCTGCCATGGCTTGCTTGTATACATCTCGAGTCCTGCATTCCTGGTTTCTTGCACCACTGAGAGCCTGCTCTCTTACCAACATGGATATCTATTCCCCAGCCCGAGGAGGAAGTGACTCCCCTGGGAAGTTTGGAAGCCTGCTGACATCCAGGGTCTCTGGTCAGCTACCAGAGGGACAGGGCTGGGAGAGCACCGAGCCACGCAGCTGAATGTGCCACCTGAGGTGCTCCTGTCCTTGTCTGTCAATTAAAACCATTGCAAATGGACAGACTGAGGGGACTGGAGGGGACTGGAACTTCAGGTTCTTCACCTGCACTGCAGGAATGGTCAATAATGTAAGCAGCAACTTAGTGCAAGCTGCTGTTTGGAGCCCACTGAGGACCTCCTTTGAGGTCTTTATGAGGTGCAAAGCCATTATGAAGTCCCTTGCCACAGGGATAAGTCTCAGCCTCACAAAAAACGTTATGGAGATATGAACTTCTTATTACTGTTTGCCTTCCCACTGAAGAGTGGAGAATTGCAGCTTTCCGCTGGGTATTATGTCACTTACTCTTGCTCCTTTTGTCCCAGCATTTCCAGGAGACACAGTGGGATGTATTTTTACTTCATGTCATCAAGCTTATATTTATTCCCTCTGCTACAGTAGCCCTTGCAGATTTGACTGGTTCTTTGCATTTGCCTTGCCATGTTTACTCTTCTGATGGCTGTCTTACACTTCTAAACATACAGGTAAAATAAAGGCTAAAGAAAACAATTGTCTCTGAAGTAACTTTTTGTGTGTTCTGAAGAATGTTTCAGAACAGGAACAGTCTAAGGTTTTATCAGTTTTTCATATGTGAGGTATATGGACTGTTGGGAGATGGCTGGCTACCTTTCCTTCCCATTCAAGGCTCTAAAGATCACGTGAGTATAGCATCTCTAAAGAAACATACAGAAAGGAGTGTGTCTAGTTGAAAAATAATAGATGAAAAATGGTTCAATATTTATTTATTCATTTATCCTATCTGCTTATTTATCTATTTTATGAGAGTCTTCTTTTACCATTGAGTTGACAGGAAGAGGTGGAAAGGATGTGTGTTTACTGGGGATTTAGTGAGATGCTTAAACAGACAGCTTTAGAGCATGTCTAATGAGCCACAGATTACCAGAGAGCACATTCTTTAACAGCAGGAAACATTTTCTGTGTTACTCTGTGTCTTCATGCTTCCCCTTTCCTTGCTGGTACTTGCAGAGCCAGCCTTGTGTGTGAATCACACCTTAGACGGCATGAGCCCAGTTGATGTGGCAACAGAAGGGTGTGTTGTAAACCTTGGCATCCTCAGCAGAGCTGCTGAGAGGTTCCTCCAGCCCTGCAGTTTCTAATATTGGCACCCTGATTTTGTCACTGTGAACCAGAGCCAGGTTATTCAACATTCAACCAACAAACTCCACAACCCCCCTCGTAGGCTGTCTGCTCCATGTTAGTGGTTCACTGGTCATTTCTTCACAGTGCCTGCTGCAAGGTTAGCAATTCCTCCTGCATTTCAAAAGTGCAAGATGTCATTCTGATATTAGGATAGGAGAGTACTCTCTGCTTGAGGGACTGTGGGGATAGCTCAGTCCCAAACACTCAACAGGGAAAGATCAATAGTTATGGTAAAACACTGTTTTAAAGTGCTTTCCTGTATGCTTTTGTCTTGTCATAGCACATGTGGTACCAGTGAATTATATTCATTATTTTGCTTGCTTGATAATCTCTGTGAACTCAAGTTAGTGCTACTGAGACATAGCTATTAATTTTCATGGGCTTTTTTGGTATAGACTTTTGGGATAGAGGGGAAAAAAGAGAGAGTGAATGGGGCTGGTAACCAAAATCCATCCTGAAAACTCTACTGTGATACCAAACCAATGTTTATTGTTATCAGAGGCAGCTGTCTGCCCTCTCTCCACACTTCTATTTGTGGATTTTCGATGGCTATAAATGGAAACACACGCTGACCAGAAACCACCACAGTGCTCCTGATACTTTTCTGTCCCAACTCCAAAAGTACAGGGATATCTAACATGTAGTAGGTTGAATCACTTCTGCTCAGGATATTAGGCGATTTTTATTCCTCTGGGAAATGGAGGTAGGAAAACATGAAAGCAAAGCCTCAGGAAGAGAAGCTTTAGAGGAAAAGCAAATGGTAAGATATGTTGAGAAATGTTGATATTTTAAATTTTTAGAAATGTAATTATAAGCAGGAAAATAAATAATCATTGTACTTTGTAGGAGTATTTCCTGGCTTCCTTTAACCACTGACCTTGAAGATTAAAACTTCATTCTTGTATATTAAATTAATTATGACAGTGCATTTCTGTAGAAATGATGGATATTTGTGAATTCATTTTATGTGCATGTGAAATTCAAAAACTGAAATCTGGTTAAACTTTGTTGTCATAACCCAAACTAATAGCTAATATCAGTGGTTTTCTTGTATTTTTCTTAAGGGACTATATCTTTGTACATTATGTTTCGTAACTTTAGATCAGTAAATAGCAGAAGAAATTGTTTGTGTCTGGAATGAATCTGAAACTTACTGAAAAAAGGTGTGACCAAAACAAATTATTAAGAGAAAGTGAAAACAGTCAAAATACAGCTTATTCCTAATTATCTGAGGCTTGCAATGTGATTTATAATTTGCCTTGCAGTAATGAGTTTTTTCTTAATATCACAAAAAGGGCAGTTTATTCTTGGCTTTGCAAAACTGTGAAGAAAAGTGGTCATCACTCTTGCTAAGAAACAAATTAGCACTGAATTTTTCAGCACTTAAATGGTGGTGTTGCAATGATTTGGTTTCGTAGTGGGCCAACTTTTACTCCTGTTTAATCACAATGTTTGCCTCTACCAGCCTCAGTTAGATTAGTTTTGGCAAGCTTGTGTGTTAGTTAACAGTTTTTTATACCATTTCACCAAGGTGCATTGGGCAGGAAATAAGGAAAACACTGAAACTGAAAGTAATGACTTGGTCTTAGAGTATTTTTTCTTTAAAAAAGCAGTATTTATCTAAGGAGTAATATCTGAAAGGGCATTGCTAAAGCTTCATCGCTTAAGTTATAATGGGAATATTATTTATTGTTTTAATTGTTCATTTTCTCATTAATTAATGAATTAATTCTTTAGACAGTGACCTAATTTTCAATTTGTAGTTGATATATAAAATATAAGGAAAACATCAAAATTAAAAACAAGTATAAAATCCACTTGATCTTTAAGGAAGGTTTCAAAGGAAACCTTTGACATTTTGTTCTAGCTCATGCAAAGAGAAAATACATAGCAATTTAATCAGCCTGTGTGGTTATCTAATTGCAGACCATATCCTCATGCACAAAGAATTGAGCAGCCAGCCTTAAGTAAGGCTTTTCCAGAATGCAAAGTGCTTCATTTGGAACACTAATGATCTGCTGTTGACCTTCTTTGTGTGCATCATTTACTAATTTTAAGAACAGCAAACTGGAGGAAACAGGGACCCCACTGATGGGAGCCGTGCTAATGCCCGTGTCAGGTCACACACTGTTCAGTAGCTTCAAAACTAAATCCTCCCAACACGCTGAGCTGAGTGTCCCTTAGCAGTGGCAGGTCACGTTCCTGGGGCTGCTCACCGAGGGAACAGACACCTTGGCTCAGGGTGTTCCACAGCACTCTGGTGACAGAGGAGGAATGCCTCCTCTCTGTCCTCCCAGCCCCTTCCCTGTCCCCTTCCAGCTGAGCCCCAGCCTCCTCTACATCCCACCTCAAACTGTCTCTGCCTGTTTAGTCTTAATGCCTTTCTTTCTGTTTGCTAGATTGATTTCCCCTTGCTCCCACATTTTTTCCCTGGTTTCGTGTCTCCCGGATTTTTATTGATTCTGCCCTTTACTCTTTGTTACATGCAGGTCAGGTCAACTGACTGCATGGGAGCAGTGTCAATCTGTGGTACAGATACTATTTGTGCATGCTGTTGTGGATGTCTGTTCACATATTTAACTTCAGTAGAGCAAATGCGTACACTGTTTCATATTCTGCTTCCACCTCCTGTGCTGCCTTTTTGCACTTCACATCAGTTGCAAACTCTCTTTTGCCACACTGGTGTCCTGGTAAGTCTGCTTGTATTCCTGAATCATGAACTGTCTTGCATGTCTAAGGGGTTGTTTTCAAGGACATGATAACTTTCCCAAATTCCCTGTGTTTCCAAGCTGCCTTCTACATTGTCCCACTAACCAGCTCCTGGATAGGCTGAAGTTAGTTTTCCTAAAGCCCAGGGTGTGTGTTTTGGTACTTGTCTTTCTCTGTTCCCTACAAGGTCTTAGGTCTCACTATTTCACAGTCACTACCACCAAGCCTGTCACTGAGTGTACACATCCATGGCCAGTTCTTCCTTGTTTATGAGTAACAGATCCAGCTGGGTATGAACTGCTTGGCCCATCCTGCGCCCACATCAAAAAGCAGTCCTTGACGCCCTGTAGAAATTGTCTGCATTGCTTGTGCAGTTCCATTTTGTTCTCTGCAGGTGTCACAAAATCTTAATGTGAAAAAACCCAAAGAAACAGGGTGTGCAGTCCAGATACTTTCTTGAGTTGTTTAAAGAAATTGTTGTGACGAGCACTCTCCGCCTCCTCACCCCTTCCAAGCTGTCTGTAGCCCAGTCTCACTGTGAAGTCACCCTCAGTGACCTCTCCTCTGATCCTGACCCACAAGTATTCACCCAGCCCTGTTGTTCAACCTGTACAAACATTCTCCATGTTTTAGTTGCTGCTTCATGCAGAGATTGTCTTCTTTTCCCTTCTTTCTGAAGAGCCTGTGTCCCTTGCAGCACTATGGCCATGTGAACTATCCCACCACATCTTTTATTTCTGTAATGTTGTAGTTCTATGACCTATATGTATTTGTGTGTGAAAGACAAATTTTGGATTTGTATGCCTTGTTACAAATATTTTCTAGCTATTTTCAGAAGAGCAAAGTCTATGTCATCCTGAAAATACTGATTGTAGCATGTCAGTCAAATAGAGACCAGTTTATGCTTGTCAGTCAAATAGACACCAGTTTATGCTCAGAGTCTAACATAGAAGACAACATCATAGTTTTATGAACTGATACCTTTACATTCACTGCTTACTGTGCATGAGATAAATAATATAAAATTCTCTACCACTTCAGGCTATTTCACGTAATAAGAATTCTTATCCTTGCTTCATGGAGGAGGACTCAACAGCCAGTATCCTGAAGAGAGTCTTTGTGTGGAGCTGACTGTGAGAATAGAAGATAATGGAGGGCCCTTTTTGTGAAGGGAAAATAGAATGACTCACTATAAAATAGATTGGACTAAGTAGATGGACATACTTGCCCTTTTCAGAGCATTGATAGCTCAGAAGCACCCAGTAATTCCAAAGTTTATCTACTGAAACAATGGCTCACCTCAAAATAGTCTGTTTTGATTCTAAAGTCCTCATCCCTTAATGCATATTGCCTTATTTGAATTTATTTTAATTATATTTCACACTTATGTCTTTCCTTTTTGATCTGTTCTCTTCCCATGAAAAACAGCACATAAACTGTTGCATTTAAAATAATGTTTACATTGGTATGTTTAACAGAGAACATTTAATCTTTGTACTTTAGTTTGCATTATAAGAGTTTTTCTTTACTTTCTTCTTACTTAGAGTAGCAGTAAAGAACAGTTCTATAGAGAAAATAGATCAACCAAATGGATATATGAATCAGAAAGGATGTCATGCACTGCTTAAAAGGTTAGGTTTTGAATGACAGAGTTGCAGGACTTCATTCAGAGAATTAGCATTTGCTTTTCACAAACAGTATGTGTGGATACAGCTTACATGGAGCAGGGCAATTTGGATCAAGCCCACCTAAGTGAAACAATGGTTAATCTTCATACTCTGGTAGCAGCATCAGAAGTCCTGTCAATATTAGCCTTCTCCATGGCAAGTGTGGGAAGCAGAGATTCCTTGAAGAAGGCAGCCTGTTTCCTGAGGTCTGTCTGGGCCACCTAAGGGAGCCCAGACAGAATGAGGATGATGACTAATGAGGTGATGGCAGGTCCTGTTTGCAGGTTTTGTTGTTGATTTAACACGTGTAAACCAGGTGAGAAGCGAGTATGAGATGGGAAGGGTTGTTTGAAAAGCAGCAGATAAGGGAGCTGGGTGGAGGTTGGTGGGAGTGGGCCGGGCAGGAAGCGCTGGGTACAGCCGTGCCTCCATGGAAACCTTCTCCAGGTCACCCTAGCTCTTGTGCCAGGAGGGCTGGTGCCAGAGATGGCAGCGCTCCTCCTGGGCTGCTGGTGCCAGAGATGGCAGTGCTCCTCCTGGGCTTCGTCTGTCGCTCCTTTGCCAGGAGCAGGGCCCATGGCCAGTGCTCTGACATGTCCCTGGGCGTGCACTGCGCAGGTGCTGCTGTGGCCAGAGGTGTGCTACGGCCTCCGTGGGTCACCACCAGGAGGGAAGAGCGAGTGTTTGTGCAGATACAGGGGGTCAAACACCTGGACAACAGGATGTTCTTTGGCACAGCAGAAATCTCCATGGCTGAGGAACAAAGAATAGTTTGATAATTCGGTGCTGAAGTTTGAGATCATGCTCATTTCATGACATAAAAATAAATAATTACAAAAGTCAGAGAAGGCTTTATATGAGTATATATTTAAATTATTCCTGTTTATCTAAGAGGAAGGTTTTAGTTCTTGCTGTGTGTGTGAACTCCTCTAGGAGATTTTGTCACGCAGCTGAACTCAGGTGGGTGAGTTGACACACTTAAGGCATTTTGTGCTACTTTGTCCCAAATTACAGCAGCTTTGGCAAAAAAAGGGTTGCTTCAGAAGAGCAACTTTCAAATAACCCAGAGCTTTGTAGATCAGGACTGAGGCTTTGTAGTTGCTACAGCAATAAGATCCTGACATGGTGGCAATTGCATCTTGCTGTACAGATGTGGGAAAGTGATCAAGGCAGAGCTCCAGCTGATAAGCATTTCCTCTTGGATACCTAAAGTTGCATTCCTATTTGTGTGGAAGCATGGATTACTTCAGCAAGCAATCACCCAGAAGGAGGAGGAGGAGGGAATAAATTGGAGCCTGCATATAGCAGGATATTTTTAGCATTGTTGATGTGACATTAAACAGGACAAAAGAAAGTGGGAAGCACTGAATCTTGGTGTGCCCTT